CTGTGCTTTTATTTTGGTAAATATTTGTGAATCTGACCAGCAACCAAGTTCTGCGTAAGCTCTGTGTTGAAGGAAGTCTCGCAGCGTGAGCCCTGGCTGCTCACACCGGGAGAGTTGACAGTACTCTGCTGTTTCAGAATTCCAGTTGTTACTGTTGCTTGAACTCACTGAGATAGATAACTGCATTAATCTTCACCGAAGATCACTAGCATTGAGAAGAAAGCTGTACTTACTCTTCAGTGGCTAAAACGGGTCTTAATAAATTGAAAATGCAGTAGTGGAAAGAGGAAGCCTATCTCAGCCAATTTTCTAAAGTTTATATAATCCCAGGGCGTGTATATGCGTGTCTCATATGCTCTCCTAATAATGAACCGAAACTCTTCCACTGTTCATGCCATATCATGACACTGGGTAAAACCACAGTCCTAAAGAAACTGAGTTTAATTCTTTGTTCCAGGAGAGTGAAACTCTCCACACAAGCATAAGAGGCTTTACTTTCAAAGCGCATTACTCCTTCACTGCCACCTCTAGAATCTCACCCTCTAGATTTATGTTTTGGCTTAAGTATAAGCAAGTGAGCGAGCATAGGTGGGTGAGAAGGCAGTGCAGCCAGTGACATTAAGCCTCAGTCACGTCACTTTCAATGATTTTGATTATTCTAACTGAAACTCAATTGAAATTTAGGGCAATACTAGAAAAAGTACATTGGAAGAGTGTACTGGGGTTAACTTTCTTTTCGCTTATTCTGCACACACAATAGTAACCCTACAAGAAAAATCTTACTGCAATAAGGAGGTGAGGCTAAGTCAAAGTTCACACTTTCTTCTTTATAAAAAAAAAAAAAATCTGAGAAGTGTGAGCAACAGACCTATGGAAAAATTCATGGCTATAGCTGAACGTTGTTGCTAATACAGGAAAGCTGAAAGGTTGTCATAAGTAACCTTAGGGAGGGTGCTCTTTCAAGTAAAATTTCTTTCAGTGTACTTTTTTCTGTCCCCTAGAAGTTGTAAGTTTTCTTTGGTCTGGAATCTTGTGATGCGGTTTCAGTTTAAACCAGAGTACTGCCCTTGTGTTTTTGGCTGTATTTTTGGAGTCTTTTGAAGGAATGGCTTGATTCCTAGCTCGCTTTAGGAACTGGAGTCAGCAGCTTAAGAGCCCTCTGTCAGCTTACCTGTCATATCTGGCCAGAATTGGGGTGCGGGACTTGGACTTTTTGTGCAGCTGGAAATGTGGTAGCGTTTTACGCATCACTCACTTAATGACGTGCGCTGAGCTGCACTGCTGATAGGTTGCTAGAATAAGTATACTTATCACCCAATATTAAGTTAAAACCTGTAGCTGAGTATGTTTGACTTGCCTAATTCATTGCCCAGAACTGTGCTATGAAGGACTCCCACGCCATCTGCTACTGTTTATTTATTGTGAATTTCTGTTCTGTGCAGGTAGTATAGTGATGCATTTCATGCTCCCTGAGACACGAGAGACTTATGAATTGGAAAAGCTATGGACCCTCCATTCCTATGATGACCAGTTAGCAGCGATGACTCCACAGTCACTGCCAGAAGACTTTATACTTGGACTCACTCCCCAACAGCAGTGATCATTGTCTTGCAACAAGAACTTAATGCAGCTACTGAGTTGTCCAAATGGAAAGCTAAATGAGCATGCCTTCACAGACCTCTGAGAGACACATAGTGTGATTACTGACTTAACAGTCACAAAACAGTAGGTTTTATTGGATGTGCCTATGTGAGTTCCTGAGCAAGGTACTAAAGTGATCAGATTTTATCATAAGGAAGGAATCAAATCGTAAGGAAACTTCTTTGTGGAGTCACTGCCTCAATGGTGGTTGCAGTGAGAATAGTGGGGCAGCAGCAGCTACTTAAGCTACTTATCCTCAAACTCAATCTCGGCCCCTCCAATGATTGTTTTTCTAGTATCATTGAAAGGTCCTCCTGCAATAATGGTGCACATGAGGTACCATTCCTGCAAAAAGTCTGAGTGCTGCAAGATGAAGCACTACCTGGGACAGCATGGCTTAGGTAAAAACTTTTTGCATTAGGTCAGTTGCTTCTGGTCATGATGAAGCAGATCATGCTCTGTTTGAGCTGAAGGAAGAGGGAAAACAGACTGGTACTACTGAGCATGGAAAAGCCAAGAGCAGCAGCAGTGACAAATGAATGTATCTTGAGTTAACAGAACAGTAATTCAGTTCTTCGGCCAAGGCCAGCCTATTTCTAATTAAAGAAAAACAAAACAAAATTCAAGCTTCAACTCCTTGCCTTCATGTTAAAACATTCAGTTCAGCCTAAGTGTGCAGCCAGCCTCCCTCCTACTTTACCTCTCACCTAATTTCTGGAAAAGGACACTGAGGCAACATGCTTTGGCACTGTAAACTGTCTGGTCCTTTGAAGCAGGGGGAAGTAGTTCTAGAGGAAGTGCTTTATCACTGACCATTACTTGCTGCTGAGGCACAGTTCAGCACTTTCAGAAGTCATTGTGCAGTGTTCATAGTAAACTGACTGCTGCACCTTCTAGCATCCTGTTAGAAGAGCTTCAGGATTGTCACAACACTTGCTTGTAGGTAAAACAAGCTCTTGGAGCTGGTGAAGGCAGTGCCATTTGAAACATGTGCAGGCAGTAAGTGGTCTTATCCTAAGGGCAGCAGAGCCCTTAAAAAAAATAACATACATGATTGATAGACAAAAATCAAAATATGAGCCACTGATTAGTGACAAACATTGCATAAAGTTGTACCTGTACCACATAGGGAGAAAAGCAGCTGAATTGTCATCCTGTGACCATGGGATGGTTCATAAGTTAAAATGGCTGTTGAAATGCTAACATGTTTTACCAATACAGACTACCCACAATTGTTTTCTTTTAAAAAGTCAGTAAGTAGCAGTCCTTACAATGTGGATTTTTCTCTCAATCACTTGAGGTGTCCAACTTTTATATATATAAAAATGTAACTCACTTCCCTTTCACAAATCAGATTTTTTTATGCTGTTGCCTTTATTTTATGTATTGAGTGCATAGCCATTTCTTGGCAACTTCTGGGTTACACTATACTAAACTAAGAGGCTTGACCACTATTTGTTTTTTATAATACTCAAGAATTACTTATGGTTTAGAAGATTTTTTTTAAACAAGCAAGCAAGCAAGCAAGCTAGCTCACTCTGGTATTTCAGATCTGTCATGTTGTCCTGGTGTGTCTAGCCTCTATCAGGAATAACTGCTCTGAATTAATCTTTTCTTTGATAAAAATCAGCAGATAGTTCTACAGATTAAACTTCTCTTCCAGAGAAGAACAGCAAGAAATATGGAACAGCTTCCATGTGAACCAACAGGACTCTTACAACTGGAAAGGGATGATAGAGTCTGTAAGACAAGACAAAAAAAATCAAATGAGTGGACAAAAAGCAGTAAAATGTGAAAAAGTACAGCTGAATTTACTGCCAGAGCACAGTGTGAAAGGGAGTTGAGTGAAAGCATCAGGAAAGATCCACTAGTTGCTATTGAGTATCTGCATTTCCAGCTCAGGAAAAAAAGAGCTTCATCACCCCCAGTTTAACAGAAGCTGTTATGTTCTTTGCCAGGTTACTGCCAATGCTCCAGCCAGATGTGCCTGATGCAGTGAGCCTTTGGCCTGACCCTCTAAGAGCTGGGTCCTAGGAATTAACAAGTACATTCTGGCTGATCACTACACTACAGGTTTAAAGCCCTTTTGGAAGGGAAATATTTGGGAATGGTGTCAGGTTTGTGTTTTTAAAAAAAAAAAAAAAAAAAAAAAGCAAGCAGTTGGTCCAAAGGGTCTATTGATTGCACATGCAGCCCTCCTCTACAGAGCTACATGCAACTGTGGCCTGTTTGCAGGAGCCCTTGGTGATAGGATGAACAGAAGACACAACTATTAGTCTAGAACTTTTGTCACTATATCACCAATGTCTTGCACTGCATTTGAGTAAACTTAAGTTATGCAGCAGTGGTTGTGTCCACCAATCGAGCTAGCATCTCTGATGCAGCTTGAACACTTACTCCACAATTTCATGTTAGTTTAAAAACCCCATGCCCTAGAACCATGTTGAGACCATGCTGTACTGCACAGTATACATGCTTCATTTAATAGAAACTAACACAAAGAGCACATGCCTTTGAAATTGCAGCTTAAGAGTAAGCGCTTTGGAAGGTTAGAAGCAACTGAAAGCATCATGATTAAGCAAATGCTCAAACAATTGGGGGTTTCAGCTATCACAAATGCTCCAGCGATACAGAGGAAGGCTTAACTTATGTTGCTCAAATGGCAGGGATGTCACATCTTAGAAGGTAGCTCAATATTGGCACAGGAGAAGTAGAGTTCCCTGTGAAATGCAATACCATACACAAGTACCTTCCACAGAGATTGCTTCTTCAATTCCCTTTTTTTGCTACTTGGTCCCAATAGATGAGATGTGCTGTGAAGATAGGTGAGAAGGTGCAATAGTTTGGAAAGCAAACAGTAATCTGGTTTTCCACTCCTCTTTAAAAGATACAGAATGGTTTTATTCACGATCACCTCTTCCTTTCCCAATTCCCCCTTGCCCTAAAGGGTTTTGCTTTAAACATCTATTCTCATTTCAATTCCCAATTACATTTATGGGGACCTAAGTCGAGAAGAGATACCACCTTACTGGCAAAAGGTGCACGGATGGTGGTGGTGGTGGTGGTAGAAGCGAGATTCAGATTGCCACATTTGCTCACTGCTGTGACAGGGTCTGCCTAGCCAAGTTTCTAGGGCCAAGCTTCACCACAGTGAGTAAAGACTGGGTAAAAAGCAGCCCAAAAAGAGTTTACAGGTGAACAGCTTGGATCTCACTTCAAATCTGCTGCAAATTCAAACTGTCGAACACAGCCTTTCCA